AAACCTGCAGTCCCCCCCCCCCCCCAGAAAAAGAAAACTGCCGCTGAGCGAGGGTTGGGGGAGGTTCGCTTTCAGAAAAATCAACAGCTTGGAAAATTTCTCTGAATGTCACATACGACTCCTTCCCGTCGACGAAGTAGGGAATCTCAACGAAATTTACCAACGATGCTGTACCTTTGCCCAGGAAGTCCTATTGGGAGATCATAAGAGGGTGTAGTGTCAGCACTCAGTTAGAACTTCGGACAGGCAGTGCCTATCCCCCAAACCGCGAGTAATAGTGAGTGCGCAGGAGCCAGCGAGCGCACACAACACACCCCAGCCCCCCCCCCTCCCTGGGCAGCCCCTGGCAGATGGAAAGCCGAATCGGCATCGCACTCGCCACCTAGCCTCACGCGAGCTTCTGCCCCACCCCCGTCCACCTCCAGAGCGCGCCAATGGTGAGCATTCACGAAGATGACACATGTAGCTTCGAGCGCAATTTTCGGGGTGCTGTATACCGCCTGCTCTCCCAGTTTTCTAATCTAGAGTGTCAGCGCCATGTCACGGGAAATATGTAAGAGTTCTTGAAAGATCTCACCGGATGAGCGTTCACTTCCATTAAATGCTGTAGCCAAATCAGACTTAGTAATCACATCGACTGCTTGCCCACTCGAGTTGATGACCGGAAGTGATGACAAGATGGTGAGTTAACAACTTTTCAACCACGTCGTTCAAGCAATCATCCAGTGAAACCTGAACAGCAGAAAATAATGCACATCGAAAGGAGTAAACCTCTTCTAAAGGCACGTTTCATGATCATCGAATGGGCGGAGACAGTCAACTACTGCGCCTTCCTTGTTCCGCCCTATTGTTCCCTTCTCTTGACGAACTTTGGGGAAGGGATGAATACACGATTGTCTTTGCCCACACGATCAACATGAGATGTGCCTTCTAACGTGAAAATAGCTTACCGAATGTATTTTATTCTCCCAAGTACCTACGCCGGAATCCTTGATAGTACTGCTCAGCCACTGAGCAAAATGCAGTGAACGATTCTGAAAGGAATGAAACTGTCTCAAGAAAGGAAGCTGATGTAATCATCATAAGGGGGGCTGCCTTCGAGCATTGAAATTTTTTGCAGGGTTCAGGAAAAGATGAAGACTTACCTGTTTATGAATCGCTTGTAGTACCCGTTTTATTGTCAAAAGATAAAGAATATCCCCCGATTGGGGTTCTCGTACGATGATACGATGTACGCGATGTAAACACAATTGCTCACACGCCTCAATTACTCTGGAAATTTTGCATATCAATCTGCTTGTTAAGAATATTCTACGCTATTCGTATGGGCGGAGTTAGATATGATATCGGACATTTGTCACTGGCGCAGTCGTCCGATCTCATCAAGACCTACAAGCGGGCTTCCCTCATTAGCGCGCTCGTACGTTCTCAGACTGCAAAAGAAACGGGTATGCCCATGAGAGAGACAGGCCTAACTCCGCCTACACGATTAGCGTGAATTTTATTCTAAGTGATACTTGTAACTCCAACAGTGGTTACTCACTTCATATCCGCAAATACAGTGACTAGTGAGTTGTCGGTTATGAGATCGCCAATCTCACTGTGAGAACACTGAGACGCGTCTTCGCGAAGATACTTCAGGAAGTCGGTCAGAGTTACGATCGATGTGATCTGAAGTTGACTCAGTTATTGGAAGACCAGTCGGCTCGCCGGCTAACGCCGGCGCGCCTCCTTCTGATACGGCCCGGCTGCGCCGGGCGGGCGCGGCTTCGCCGCGCGTATTTTCTTTCACATATTTCTAGACTCAACTGATATCCGCCTTTTGTTCTGTACTCCACTTTTTTCCGGTGTCTGAAGTACTCTTGAGCTATTTTACAGATTCTTCGTCTGACTCCGCCCACCTCGGAGCAGGCTCCGCCCCACATGTTTGTGCCCCACAATCCTCACCGACGACCCTCTGCTGACCTTAATCCACGTTTTTTTCCGGTCTTTGAAGTGCTCTGGGACAGTTTTAGAGAATTTTCGTCTGGCTCCGCCCACCTCGGGCTGGCCCCGCCCACAATATGTATACCCCACATTTCTCAATCGGCACCCTTGCTGACCTGAATTCACTTTATTCCGGTCTTTGGAATGCTCTGGAACCGTTTCACAGACCGTTTTGTCTGGCTCCGCCCACCTCGGAGCAGGCTCCGCCAACAATATTTTTGCCCCACAATCCTCACCTGCGACCCCTGTTTTGACCTTTAGTCACTTTTTTCCGGTGTCTGGAGGTGTGGGCGGCATAGACCGAGACTGCAAACTTTTAAAATTTCGCGATTTTAGGGCAAGCTCCGCACCACTGGTGGTACGGGTCTCCAACACACTTTGAGCGAGTGCCCTACTGATTCGCCAAATATTTACATTCGCACTGAGTTTTTGACTTCCAAACACATCTCTGCGAACGGTCTATGAATTTTCGAGAGCACGCCCACCTTGAGTACATCCCGCCCGTTTCGGATGTGTCTGCCACAGTTAGTGGCGACTCCTTACTAGCCTTATTCCCTTTTTTCCCCATCTTTAAGCTGCTCCGGAAGCGAATTATGAACATTTTTCTGCGCGGAACCCCAAACTTTCGGCGAGTGCCCCGCCCACTGTGGGCGGGGCTTCCCATAGGTCAAGTGTGCTTTTTATTTCTTGTCCCATGCCCTACCCATTCCCACCTTGACCCGACCTCTCCAAGTCTTCTAGCAGGTCAACCGATTCCGGACAGACAAACAAACTACAAACCTACAAACGAAACAAACAAACAAATAGCACCGCAGCGACAATCTAATAGTATGGGGTGACAATAAAAAACTTAAAGCATGGGGAGGAAGAATATGAGTTAGAGGAGGAATCTTAGTGTAGTGGGAATATGGCCAATCAATTTTGAACCTCCCAGGCCAATCCAATCTTGAACTCTTGCAGGGAAATCGACACCAGATTACTTTCGGAGGATAAGACCACTGACTTGCATATGCGTTGGCCCCGCATGTTAGTATAAATTCAGATCGTATTCATCGAGCCACTCCATTCTGGATGGGAAGTAGAATGCGTGCCGCATCCCAAAAAAAGAATGAACAACGGCGAAGACTACCGTTCCCTTTATGAGTACAGGGGACTGGCTACTGGGACATCGAGAACAGACCGCTGGGAGGGAGACCAAGGGCTCACTCACAGTGAGGGTATCCTGGCGGGGGTCACCTTCATACGCTTCGCTGTGTGCTACATGTGACAGTGTGCCCTAGCGCGTCTTGCTATCGAATAAACAGTCGAAAAAAAGGAAAACCGTTAAGAACTCGCCGTCACTACAGAAAGTAAGAATGTCCAAATAACATACTGTAACTCAAAGCACTCACCCTTCTTTGTGAAGCATCCCATACAAGACCAGCACGAACATTCTGTTCACAAAGAGCCGAAAATGCTCGGTCCACCTGGAAATCGATCAAGAAAGTAAACATAGCATCGTGGCTTAAAATAACTTTACGAGTAGAAAAGTACTCTAGAAAGAGGTGGAGGTAGAATAATGATATTTACCACTGCTATAGCACACACAGTAAGGGTGTCAAATCCTGGACCGACTCCCTCAGGAGGGGGGCCTCTCTCGGCTAGCTGATCCGTGCTATATCAAATAGCTGGCAGTTGGAGACTAAAACGGTTATGTAAATCGGAGTCGAGCACTGCTACTCAGATCGGCTCTTAACGTCATTAGAAATAGCGCGGAACGTCTCAAAATAGCGCGGAACAATCTTGAGCGCTTTGTGTGTCATTTCATGAAAAGTTGCACCAGTGCCGTCAGTAGTTTTCCTATAAGTACAACCTACACTCCCCTCCCCTCTACACCCCCTCCCAAGGCAAACCGAACCCTCATCTATCTCTGAAAGTGTAAGAATTATTAACTTCTCCAGAAAGAGCTCAATTTTCCAAGAATGCAAGAATCAAGGTCACCAGGGTTAATTCCTTCAAGTAAAGGGTGTTTTCTTTGAGAATCACGTCCAAATCTGGAATCAATATGGCTCTTCGACCACCATATCGACAACTTCAACAAACTTTTGGGAGTATTTGTCAGCACGTACACACTTAATGTGACCCCCTTGGGTTGATGGGGAAAACGGAACCGTAATTCTAGGAGTTTTATGGGGACTGGGAAATTTTTCAAAAACCTTAAAAATGTAACTGCATCCGAAAAAAATGGAAAAGAAACCAAAAGAGCAAAAATACCTTGATAGATTTGTCGAGTACTATGACATTGCCAGATTGAGGAGAAAGTTCATAACAATCCACTACCCTCATGTATTGTCGATATGGATCAGATTGTGATTCTGAACAAAACTCATCCACGAGTGCGCTTTATATTTTCAAAAAAAAAACAGTTCCAACCATTGGAATTTCTACCACAAAATAAGCATGCCACTTACCCACAAGACCGACGACATCCACTGACAATGGACGAGATGTTTTACGGAGAATCAGAAAGTCCTGAAATCGGCACTATGAAGGCGATGAACTAACTATACGTAGGTCAACGTAAAAAAATACGTTTCACTCCTCTTAATCCGTCAAAAACTGCTGAAAACCGATGGAGTGGTAATAATGCAAAGCCCCGAGTCACAAATGACACAGAGGCCACGAGAACAACACCCGCATGATGCTCACCAAAATTTTCACCCACCCAGCCAAAGTCGGTTGCGCTGAACATTTGGAAAAACCAAAACACCAGAAGGTTTTTCGCTATTCTCAGAGCCTTTCCAATGCTTCGTTAGCCGAACTACTGTCATTATTTCTAGTAGTGGCCAGGCTAAACTCACGGTAAAGGGATTGAGCCCGATTTCCTCCATAGTCATATAACGCTTACCGAGCTGTTACTCCTCGGCCTCCGAAAAGCCCAATCATCATCGTAAAAATCGGACGATCCCTCTTCACATTCGCGTAGATCGTAAACTGACGTCAACTGGCAGCCATTCACCTTGAATACAAAGCAATCAATGCTATCATGGGAGCGTATGAAAAAGGATGACCATTTCCCCATGGAAGCATACTCGGCCATTTCCTCGGAGGATCACCAGGAAATGGTTGTCGAAAAACTACAGCCAGGGCCTTTGTCGTTCCTATTTTCATGACTTTCTTTCGTGTTTTACACTAGTTTCGTTCGAATCCATTCATCATTAAGGTAGTTCGCACGATGACTGGAGGCGAGTAGTTGTTGCCAATGTCATTGGTGGAAGGGCTGAGTGGGTGTGGCCAAACGCCATCTCGCAGCCCTTCCACCAATGATATTAACAACAACCGCCCGCCTCCAGCAATTGCGCCCACTGCATTTGGTAGCATTTAATCACCATTTTCACACTGAAACTGTCGCGGTACCACGCGGTTGCTCCCAGTAACTGAAGTTGGTGGTTGGTGAACTGGCCATTGAAGCCTATTACTGCAACATGACACCCCTGCCCCTGGCTGTCCTCCCAATAGAGGAAAAACAGAATACGCTCCCCCGCCTCCCCTCCCCAATCCCTGATCGTACCTGCTGGCTCCTGGTCTTCTGAAATTCTTCCCCCTTTTACTGAGCTTTTTCCAGGAGTTCCTCCTCTTTTTCCACAAAAAAATACTGCCGTTGAGCGAAAAGGAGGAAGGGCGGGAGCGGCGGGCACATGGAACAAGAAAAACAGAGAAAGGTCAACAGCCGGAAAGTTTTTTGCTTGAGGGGAACACGAACCCCTCGCTGGGGACCCCATTGTACGGCCGGGCACTGTCCTTCATTCCCCATCACTGAAAAGCAACACTGCTTCATGCATTACTTCCTCTCACCCCCCCCCCCCCATCCTAAAGCGTGCTATTGCAGCATACAAGCTCGCCTGGGGCCTTGAAACGTACTCGTCAGCTACTTATGGCGAACAATTTTAGTATCGATGAAAGTCATTAACTGGCGCTTATCATCTCGGTAAACATCCACAGTTAATATGGGATATAGTTGGCTTAGCCGTCTGATATGATATCACTACTGTTAAGGGTTATGAATCCATCACTCAGAACCTGATAATGAGCTTAATCAGCTAATGTTCTTTCATCTTTTTATCGGTTTTTCATTCAAAGGCAGAAGGCACGATAATTTGGTACTCGGTCTAAAATGCTACCAAGGTGCTGTAGAGGACAAATGGCGAAACTTTTGTCACCAACCGTCGATGTCGTCATCCCACACCCTGTTTCACCATTTATAGCACTGTGACGCCCTCGGTGACAAGTTGGTAACCTTCTGATTCTAGCACCCCTATCAGACCTTATCAGTATCACCACCAGTAACATGCCATAACTATCACCGCCCACCCCCAATAACATTTCCTAGAACCAACTATTGCTGCGACGAGCATCATGAACTTGGTGATCCCCGTTGTAAGGTCTTTTCGAGATGTTATCAGTTGTTATCACTTCCTCTCGAAGCCTATAATGTTCCCGCTCGCAAAAGTCTCCCGTGATCTCCGTTGCTGCCGGGATTATTTCGGTACGAACTCATTTAATAACCCTCAGCTTTCTAGCAATTTTCGACCCCTTACTTGTAATCGACTGCGTCGCAGAAAGTGTGAGGTGTGTTTGTGAAACCACCCGCAGGACAACAAAAGAAATACCAAAGGGCAAGGCAATTGCAGTCCTCGTCTGCCCATTCATCGTCTATCAACAACGTTACCATTAATCTGTCAACATCCTTGAGGCTGAGAAGAACCTTACGGACAGTACGCAATCAGGCTGTCAAGGATGCGCTACAAAAAAGACAAAGGGACGATTCTCTTTTGACGTCTGAGGCAGACGTGTTACGGAACACAATGCTTAAAGGTAAGTGACGCGATAAATCCCCGAGGCTGTATGACAGGTACGCCTAGCAGGATGGTCAGGGCGGAAGCCCCTGAGCAGGCGCTGCGAGCGCTCTTTCTTATAGCGGCACCATTATAACACCCTGTCAAACTACAACATGCCGACCTGGACGCCTACCGCACCAGCCCGCCCTTACTGTCCGTACAGTCCGATCGACGCTGCTGCACCAGTCGCTTCATTTATGAAGTACAATTGATATGAACCTTCGCTCCATGGATTTGTGAATACGTGCCTATCAAAGCAGCAGTTGTTGGTATGATGCTAAGGGGGAACTCCTGCAAAAATGTTCGTAAAATGCCGTGTAGAACAAAGGTTTCTACGGAGTTCTTCAACCGTTTGACTACGTTTTCTTCGTCACTTCCCCACTTTGGAGCACTCCTGCAACTATTTCTGAGCAAGTACCAAATTATCGCGCCTTATGCCTTTAAGTATCTCTGGTTCCAGTAAGCCCATTTGTTTGTGGTCGGTGCAGGTCGCACGGGAGTTCCCGAGCTAAACGGGTCGTATTTGGTGGCTAGAGGGAGGAAACGGGTCATATTTGCTTCTGAGAAGAATATTATCGGTTGTTGACCTTTCCCAGTTTTTTTTCCTGGTTCGAGTGCACAGTTTCCCTGTTAAGACGTGCGCAGTATACTTACACAACCCCCCTCTCTTCGACGGCAATTTTTCGGAAAAAAGTGCAAGGGAGCGGAATCGGACACAAAGGCATAAGGACGACGCAGTGACAAAACGTGAGGACGCTAACCTTACCTAACGACTTACTATGAGGCAACCGGCTACAAAGCCTGTCCAGCTACTATGTAATCGAAAACTGTCTCCCAAGCTAAGGTGACTATAGCAGTTAATTTGCGTACACCAGGCGTTTCAGGGGAGGGAACGAGTTTCGATCTACTGTTTGTCCCACCATTCGCAGTGCGCTTGCCTCTACAGGCAGTTGGCGAAAGAAATCGAGTTTTGGCACCACGCGCACATCATTGGTTGGGGATTTTAGTCGGTTTGTGTCCGAACCCCATCCCCCCCCCCCCCTCCTCCGCCGCTCTCTCTCCCTCATCGAATCGAGCCGTCGAGCAGGGAGGGGGGGGGGGGATATTTTCCCATTCTGCGCAGTTTTTTCGCAATCCGAAAACTTCCCATACTTTCAACCAAAAATTTTGCTGTCGACGGGGGGGGAGGGGTAGGGGGGGTGCATAGTATCGGCACGAAACAGAAAATATCCACAGAAAAAGTCCCACCGCTCTTACAACGCCGAAAAACATAAATACCCAGCCAAATACGCCCCTTCTCTCCTAGGCTGCGCTAAAATACGAACCCCCCGCCTATTGGGATTCCAACAAAATGGCGCCGCGGTTGGACGCCGCAGAAAAACCAGCTTCCATCAACGCACCAGCGTCCGCAGTAAATCAAGAAGTACGTAAGTCGAATAAATAGGGTCTAATCTTGCCCAGTGATTCTGACTGGCAGATGTTTGCTCTACATCTATGAAGGAAGTAATTATCGGGCGTTGAGAGATTTGGTTGATAACATTGAAACGGAAGGGCATAAATGGAATTCACAGAAGGCCGTCATTGAAGCGGAAATAGGAAATGTGAAAGTCCGAAAATAGGAAACTGCGATTGAAGCGGCAAGTAGTACCAACACGAGTAGTTGGAAAAAACCTTAAGTGGGAAATGAGATAGTATGGTATGAGCAAAATAAACAGTTAAATATAGACATAAAATATTATTACACGGGATATCCGAGTGTGATACCTGTCAGTCCCGCCTATGAAATCTCCTCTCTAAAAATTGTGGCAAAAGCTGGCAGACGACCACAATAGGTTGAAAACTGTAGGGCTACGCTAAACCCAGCTCCTCCCTGAAACGCCCAAGCGACAGCAGCGAGCAAGACTGTGAATGCCCCTTCAAGATTATTAACGCCAATAGTGGCATTGTTACTAATCGAATTTTTTGTTAATTAGGTTTTTGTTGTCTCACTGATGCCAACAATAATAACCCAATTTTAAATTAATGTTCTTACCTGGACCTTCTTGAGTTTCGTTGATTTTCGTAGTAATTGTCCACTGAGACTTTCCGATCGTTGTCGACCCATCAAACCACGGATTCCTGCAAGTCAGGAAGACGTGAGAAGTGGAAAGATAGACAGCTGGGAACCCAAACTCGTTTAACTCATTTTTCAGCCCCTTCTTGCAGTAACAGCGACTCAATCGTCGGGAATCGCCAGCCACGGAGTCATATTTAGGATCGTTGCTAAGAAGCGGATCGTATTTGTACTGTTAGACGCTTCGGTTGTTGTCTATTTTCTCACTTTTGCCGTAAGACGCTATATGCACCATCTCCCCCCCCCACCCCCCGCTCGGCGACATTTTTCTTGGGACAAAATGAATTTTGGAAAAAAGGAAAAACTTGGGGAAAAATGGTGGAAAGTTGGGAAAATTGTAAGGAGGCGATCCCTTAAGGAAGGACTTCCCCCGGTCGTTGATGTGTCGATTTTCGTTTGCCCCAGATGTTTTGCTTTTTCACAGCTACAAGGCTAGGATCATTTTTCTGTTCAAAGCAGCATCTCAGGCCAAGCAATTTCGTGAACATTGTTGAAAATCGGTGCAACATGGATACGGGGGGCGGGGCTGATACGCGATAAGGTTATCGATAATGATATCGCATCAGTATAATGGAAACCCTATTACACCTCTCTTCTGGAGTACCAGGAAAATGGGCGCCACTTTTTCGGTTTCGACGCGCGCCGTCAATATTTTTCTCTCACTTTTTTTGAGGTGTTTCGAAAACCTACTGAAAGAGCGAAGTATGCAAAAAAGCCAGGAAAACTGGTTCGCGCGCGCTGTCGCGTGCGGCTATGCCAAACGCGCCGTATGCCCCACAAAATTGAGTAATTTTGTGTAAGGAATGATTCAGAACGTACCGCTTAGAATGCTCGGTGGCCTTTGTACGCTACCTGACGCATAACGACGTCGCGAAACTGGTCGTCCAGGTGCTGCAAACAAGAAAGTTCTACTATCTCCAAGTTTAATTTAATTACCTAATTCAATTTTATTCATATTTCAAATTCGGAAAAAGCCAAATCATGGAAGAACTGAAGTGCTCCGCTGGTTGTTCTTTGAGATTGTTCGAAAACAGAAACCAGTGCTGTTCGGCTTGAGGGGGGCATACTGTACTTCCGCCAGTTCTTTTT